CAGCCTGGCAACCTGCATGCCAAGCTCCTTGACCAACTCGAAAGACTCGATATTGGGCCGCCCATCACCACTCGTAGGTAGCTCCTTCTCCAGGAGATGCTTCAGATTTTCCAGCGCGCTTGGAGGAATGATCGCCATACGACGGCACTATATACAGAAAAACGGGCCAGTTGTCACCATGCTCTTTTGAGCCTTTCCACCTAGAAAAGTTACACACACCTGCACCTTTACTTGCAAATCACGCAACACCGTTTCATGAACCGTTTGTGAACCGAATCTGTGACAAGCATGTGACATGACAAACAGTGCACTTATGACGCGCCATCACGTTGCACGGTACACCTTTTCACCAAACTCGGGCACCTTCAATACCACGGTTGTCAAAAAGGGTCTATTTTCTATCCACTCAGTCCACGTCCTTTGGGCCATCTACAATCTCAACGTCTTCTGGCACTTCCTGTTCAGGATCCTCTGCAGCAGGCTGCTCTTCCTCGGGTTCCTCAGCCAACTCCTTTGCTGCATCTGTGATTTCAGCAGCCGGAACAGCTCCAGGCCCAGTCGAGGATTTCGAGGCCTCTTTCTGCACAGACGCAAGAATGGCCTTCATCATCTCAGCCTGAATTAAAATTCAGTTGCGAACTCAAGGTCGTGGCCAAGTTTACAAAGTAAATATCGCGTTCCGACCGACCAACTTCACAAAAACAGATAAATTGTCTACTGGTAGCGCGAATCTCCTGGCACTTCGCGAGCGATTCACCCTCCCTCAATTTGGACACCAGCAATTCCTGAGCATCGCTGGTATGAACAATTAGAATCTTAGTTGCGGCAAAAAGGAACCTCAAAGTGAAAGCCTGCCCGGTATTTGCAAGCATTTGCAAGCAAAAGGCTGCAATCTCACGCGATTTCTCCTTGGGATACAGCTTGCCACCGACCTCAAGCCAATTGCGACAGTCAGCAACTTCGAGAGCCATTTTGTCATCATATGGAAAACTTTGCCAAAAACTGGGGGGTGGGCGCAAATCTTTTGAGAGCCATCAATCTTAATCCCAAACGAATTGTTGTTCTTGTAGTACTCGGGATTGGGCACCTTTGGTTGTCCAGCTGGCCTCTTGAGCCTCGGAAGAACCTTCTTCACTTCGGCCTTCCCCTCAGGCGTCGGCTGCAACGGCTCGGCCTTAGCCTTACCCTTAGCCTTGGGTTTCGGCTTCGGCGACGGCTCTGTAGGGGCAGCCTGCGGCGGTTCCACAACTTCCTTCACCGTCGCTGCCGCAGGCCGCTTTAAAGCTGGCTTCCGTGGCGCTGGTCTGTCCTGGAGTGGCCCAGCCACATATACTTTTATTAAGGGGCCCTATATGCTCTTGTGGCGAAACCTTTGATTGTATACAGTATACACGTTTACTCAAAACAAACACTCTCCACATGCTCACTTGCAGTTGCAACTAACAACAAAGATTGCAGCGCTCGAGAAAGCTGAGTCCTCGTCTGAAGACTTTGAGAGTTCACTGATTTGAGTAAGCAGCGGCATCTCCAAACTCTCGAGTCTATGAAACAGGCAAGCAGTAAACTTGCCAACCTCTAGATGCGCTTGGCGACCAGTGCCTTGAACATAGAAAAAGAACGCGCAGAAAAAAACTACCGCAATCAAGGGATTCAATCCTTCGCGAGCTGGCCCATTCGCTAGATACTGGACTTGGCAACCCAAATGTGTCTAGGAACGAATTTTGCTCTGCACTGCCCCTCCGAACTGCCAGCGTTCTGGACTCAACATCCAGAGATGATTCAAGCCCTGGCCATTGCTCAAAAGGAACACAATAAGAACCAAAGACATTGTGAGAACTGCCGCATCACGATTAGACCAGGGCTTCTCGGTGAAGCGTCCCTCCAACTCAACTCAACTTCACAGCAGATTCCGGCGGAATCTGAAAACCACACAAAAGGTAGACCTTCGGCTTCACAGCCTGGATCTTTGCTGGGGCTTGCGAGAACTGCACCTCCAAGGATTTTAGGAAGGGTTCTCAAAAACTCAAAACTGCAGGCGGGGTCACATTTGACAATGGCAACAACCAATCACTCCGATTTTGGCATGCCTGGCCTCCCATACCACCGACACGTTCTGATTGCGAGGGCACTTCTGGTAGCTGCCATGGTAGTGAGCCCCAAGCAAATGCTTGCCCACTTCAGAAGTCCCATCCTCTAGCGGGTTCGGCTTGAAGATGGAAGTGACCATGTTGGGCGACGGGGCAACATTGTAGCGGAAAGATACCGGAACAGCGGCAGCATCGCCAACCTTGTTGTCAAAATGTCCCAAATCCAAAACGAACGCTGCCACATACAAAAATGATCAAACAATGATAAGATTTGCGGCGCGCGTAAACCAGCCCGGAAGCTGCTGGGTGATACTTCTGGGTCAGAACGTGGCTCTCCAAGTCCACTTGCCCCAAGCCGTGGTTGCTGGCTAGAAACTTCAAGAACTCACAAAACGGATACAACGTCTTGTTGTGCGACAAATACGTCAAGTCGTCACGAAGCCGCCAAACGATGCCCGTTCCCTCAGCACAGGCTTGTTCTTCACTTACCGAGGCCTCAACGTAGTTTCCAGTCCCGAAGCCAAAGAGCTCGCCTGCCACCACCTCGATTGGAGTCGGGGCTGGGTTGTAGAGCCACAATGAGAAGTCCTCCAAAATTGCAATGCTCGGCTTTCCGGCTTTGCCCATCACAAAGCCAAGCCTGGCAATCAATAACAAATTGGGATCTGGAAAATAATAACAAACTGGGATCCTGTCCAACCAAGGGTTCATGAAGAGTCTTTAAAGTTAGGTTGTCAATGCTTGTCAGGTGTTATTGACATTTCACGTCGAACTCACGCTTGCCTTTGCTTGGCGTTGAACTCCACCAGGGCCACAGTCTCAGGCTGAATATCTCGCTCGACATCCACGGGCCTGACTCCCCCATCAATGGTATAGTCACAAGAACCGGAAACCCGCTCTCTTCCAGAAGTTGCTACCGTGGCATTGGCCTTCCCAGGGGTAGCCGACACCCCAAACTCTCCCTCGAAAGTTTCCTTCAACTTCTGGAGGCTCTTGAACTCCTGGCTTTCCTGATCGAACTTCTCCATAAGATGGGCCGGCCAACATGGCTTGCCCCTGTGGAGCGCCACCACAGCAAGGTCGAGACCGCTCAACTCGGTTTCTGTTGCGTCTCTTGGTCGCTCCTTTGCTGGACTCGAAGCGGCGGTGTCCCACTTCTTGTAAACCGTGCCTTGCATCGCTTCTCTGATCTGCTTGAAGCCTTTCTGAATCACACCGCAATAGCGCACAGGGTGGCCCTCGTTGTTCAAGATCTTGTGGACGCAAGCGCGAGCGAACTCCGCGTGCCTCTGGGCGGTGCTTTTGAAATACATGCGATATACAGTACATTAAACTCTTGCTTCGCACATCAAGAAGGTTGAGAAACAGTTTTCGCAAAGAAGCTGACTGGGTTTTTGCATACATCACCCTCCCAACTGCCATTTCAACTGGACCTACCAAGCCTGTTTGGAACAATGTCCATCCAAACCACCACGTCCTGCTCCTTAACAACCAGCGGCTCAGCCTCCAGGTAGCCATCAATGATCCCCGTATGCACTTGGAGCCCTTTCCTGGAAGACCAAGTTTGAACAAATTTTGGGGATTGAATTCATTGACAGACCAACGAATGCCCCACAACAACTTAAAGTTTAACTTAACACACTTCTCAAACAGTTAAAAGACAAGCTGCTGCTCCACTCTATCCGCAGGGCCCGGTTTGCAGCTCTCGTCATAGTCGATGAAATCAATCACACGGACTAAGGGGATGGGCCCAATGCGAGCGTTGGAGACCATGTTGCAGCTGTTGAAGACACTGCTCGTCGAATACTGCTTGTGGGAAACAGCAATGCAAACTTGGTGGCTTGCACGCTGGTCGCCTCTCGCATCAGCTGGCTTGTCGAACAGAACAGCAACTCGCTTGCCAATGTTCAAGTTGTGTTTGAACAAGAGGTCTTCAACAGTGCGAGTGTGCTTCACGGTGCTCATCCCCGAAGTCTGCTTGTGGAACATTGGGGTTTGGAGGTGCCCAATGTTGGAGCTGCTCATGGCCAAGAAGCTTGCCAAAACGTTCAATGAACTTTGCACCAGCTCCGAATTTGCTGGATACACCGTGAAATCCACGCCACATATCACATACCTCATTTCAGTGTGAGCCACCCCTCGTCCCCAACCACCCGCTGTCGCTGTCGCTATTTCATAGACTTGCACACCGCTGAAGAAAGAAGAACAACCACCAAACAAAACAAAAATGGTGCATCAGCTACCACTACTGGTTAACCTCTCCAAGGTACACATTGCCAGGACAGCCGCGAAATTGCTCCAGAAAGTGTAGCATGGATGCCATCGAGTGATTGATGTCGGATTCCCCTTCAATCAGTTTGCAATGCTCGCTCATCCATTTCTCCACGTAAGCTTTGCCGGTCCTTTCATTGAGGCGCTCCAAAATTGTGTCACACTAGGCTTGCCATTACTTGTAGTAATTGAACCGCAAAGCAATCTGCTTGGCCAAACCTAGAACTGAACGACAACAACTTCCCAAAAGTGTAGTGAACAAGCCCAGACTCTGCTGACGGTCCCGTATATACTTCAAGTCTTTCGCAGTCTCAATGGCCTGCGTGTTGCTGTCCCCAATCTTGGATTTCAAAAGCTCCATGTCACTCTTGATCTGGCTCTCGATGTGCGCATATGAGGCAACTGCGGCCTGCTTGGCCAGAGCCTGCGCCTTGCTCTCGCGCTCTTGGCGAACAGCTTGCTCAATGGAAAGCACGTGCTGCCTGTGGGCGGTACTGACACCCATCATATTCAATATGACCCTAAAATATCTTAAAATTGATATTATCCAGGTGGCCACCCCAAAAACATGGTACAGTATGTTATGTTCAACGTGCTTCCCTGCCTGAAAGCAGAAATGCTCCGCAGATCGATCGGAGGCACCTGCTCATCAGCCATATGAAAAAGCTCTCCATCCAAGTAGCCAGCGTTGAACTGAGTGTCTAGACTGGCCTTGAGATGGCGGAACTCTGACGGCGGAGCAACCTGGCTGAACTTGTCAAGCAAGGCAAGGTACAAACCAGTCGCCAGGTGAACCCTGCTGGCTTCCTTGAACTGCAAAGCCTTTCGCAAGGTAATCGGGGCGTTGTCAAACTGGTATTCCAGCCGCGCAAGAAATCGCTCTGCCTTGCATTGACTTTTGACAGAACAGCAGGCTTTCACTGTCAACAATGGACAAGTTTTCAACAGAAAGCTTCAAAAGAAACACAAAAATCACAATTCATTCAGGGCGCCACATTCAAGCTGTTTTTGTTTGAAGCCTCCACCGCCCAAGCTTCTGCAGACCCCATTGCAGAACAGAACGTTGAGTTGAACAACTGTTTTGCCAGCATCTCGTGCGTAATGAATCCTTTCATTCCGCGTGCGCGAACACTTTCGCAAAGCAGAAGCTGGATCTGAGGCTCCATGTTCGACATGAGGTTGCAAACAGCTCCAGCTTCTAGTTTACCAAGTTGAAACGCCTTTGCCACAGACGACGCTTTGGACCAGTCCTGGTTGCAGAGAACACAACTTAGGCAAAAACAGACCTCGACAGCAACGACCACACATTGAAAGCCGTCGCTACCACAGTTAATTTGGAACAATCGGCCTTGAATGAACGGGCGTCTTAAAAACATTTCAAAACGGGTGGCCTCCAGGATCTTCTCGGCGTTGTTCTTGTTCCCAGCTTTCTGCAAAACTTCAATCTGTCGAAGTAGACTGAAACAGTTCGGAGATTTGCGCACAGCACTGGCCATGGTTGCACCTACACAAGAAGGACTATGCTCGGTTCCACATGTCTATTGCTTTACAAGTAAAAGCTGGTCTCTCCCAAAAACCATGAATGAATTAGCCAGAGGCCTGCCTCGCCCAACCAACACTTTGCTGCGAGCGTCTGCGTCGCGAAAGGCAAAGTTCACATGGATTGTCCCCATGCTCACCTAACTAACAGTGAGCAGCAATAAACACTTTTTATTTGAGGTGGCAATTTTCCTCTTGGGTTGGCCAAGGACGGGGCCATGATGCAAGAAATGCGTGCCCCAAACCAGTGTTCATCTGGGCCCTTAAATAAAGGCCCAGATGAACACCGATTTGGGGCCCGCATTTCTTGCATCATGGCCCCGTCCTTGGCCAACCCAAGAAGAAAATTGCCAATTTGAGGGCCAACTGATAACGGCCACCTGCTACGATGTTGGACCTATGTGTAGAAAATAGACTTGCCTAATTCAATGATGAGTGACTCGAAGGAAATGGTCAATGGAATCTTCAAGACTGAGCTCCCGAATGCCCTGCAAAGTAATGAGCAAGGCCACTGCGCGTTTCCATCCCTTCACATACGCTACAGAAAATGGTCGCAGGAGGCTGGATCCAGAATGAAGCGCACGACATTCTTTGTACTCTGCAACCAGAAAGTCGGTAGACGGGCTGCAACAACTGAGCTTTTCCACAGCCACTTGGTCTGGGTCAGACCTGAATCCCTCACTAGCAATGAGCTCGGTTAGCTGCTCGCAGATTTCCTTTTCAAAGTACCCGGCCAAGCCGAAGTCGCTCCGCCAGCTGAACATCCAGGGTCTTGCTACCCCAGGCGTGTCATACGAGCAGCAATATTGCATCCTCAGTCAGACTGCTATCATAATGGCCTGTTTCCATCACCAGTTCTGTCATTTTACATGTCCCAACAAAAAAATCATTTCCCACAAGGTTCTTCGGGTTCGCTGGGCAGAAACCATCCATCCAGGAAGCGAACTCGCACATGGATTCCTTGTCACCACAAGAGGTTGAACTTTAAAACGACGACACATTGTTCACCATACGCCACCAACATCAAACACCACATCAAAACACATGCAGCCTCGTCTGGATAGAGATTGGAGAGGTAGCGGTCCGGGCCACCAGCTGGGAAAACTTTGGCTTGCAACCTTGGTCCAGACCAGACTTGGGCAGAGTTGTAAACTATTCAATATATTGGTATGTTTTTCGCGAAAAGGAACTTTGCCAGCAGCAGGCGCTACATCACAATGCAACGCATTGCGGTGAGTATATTATAATATATATATATACCGCAAAAATGCCAAACATAGCAGGTGCTGAATCGAAAGGAGGGGAAAGAAGCTCACACCTAACACAGGCCATGAGAACCCTGTCAAATTTCATCGAATAAGCAACCATTCAACAAGCTTTCTGACGTGATCGCTTTGTCCCTCGTTCTGCTGACTCTCCGTCTTGAGTGCCTTGGCCTTGGCAGCCTTGTCAGAGCTGGTTGATTTGCGCTTCGCCATGAGAGGCAAGCTTCACAGTGTGAGCCAAACTGCTGTGATTATTATGTGCCCTGCGCAGGACATGGCGCCGTCTATGTGACAAGTGGGCTTACAGGCCATCAACTCTGGCGTTAACAACCTGACTGAAACGGAGCTTTGCGCAACAACACCATCCAAGATATTTTGGGAACACAACTCAACACGATCCCTATTGTGGAGGCCCGAGGGTCAGGCATTTGTAGTGGAATAAAA